GGCCAGTTATTTTGCTTGGTTATTTATTTATAGGCTCATATACAATTGAAATTAATATTTTCATAATTCTGTAATGAATGAAAACACTGGTGCATGTGGAATTTTGTATTTCAGAGCTAAATAAATCTGTGACTAATAAAGTTGTCTATACTGCTAACCATATATTGTTAGATAGGTCATCTCTGATTGTTTTGCATGTAGAGTTAAAGTCATGTAAGATGTCCTCATTGTTTGTCATCTTATTCAGACTGTCTTTGCTGTTTAGGTTATGTATTTCATATAGATTGTATAGTTTGTATACATTGTTGTTATGGTTACAATAAATTTCTTTATCACTGGATTAATAAAAAAAAAAATTAAATAATAGATGCAAATGTTTTCATACTATCAAAATGTGACGATTAGTCTAAGGAAACGTTTTTTTTTTATCTGGCAGATGGGTCAGCCAATGGGTATGGGAATGGCTCCAGCTATGGGCATGCCAGCTCCTGCCATGTATGGGGTGCCAAGAATGCCAATGATGGGAGGCTTTCAGCAACCTCGACCACTCCAGCCACAGTCCGGTCAGGCAAATAATATCAATGATCCTTTTGGGGCTTTATGAGACCAAGGTATGTGATTTAGTCATTGTTCTTATTAAAATGTTGAGCATCTGATGTTTGGTTTTAAGGCCAGGGTATGTGAGATTCTTATTGAAATGTTCAGCCTCTGATGTTCTATTTTCAAAGTTATTTCACTATTTGAGTTAAACTTAAGCTATTTCTTCTCAATGTTTAAAATAATTTAAGTAAGTTTTCTTTTTTACAAAGCTTTTATTAACTCACTCTGTCTGTCTGTCTGGTAAAAAGTTTGTACACGTTATTTCTCCCACACCCAATCCGGATCAAGCTGAAATTTTGCACAATTATTTCTTCTACCTGACAACACAAGGATCAAAAAAAACAATTAACCAATTAGTTAATTATCTATTGGTAATTAATTATTTTGTTTGGTATCTTGAATAAGGGAAAGAAATTTGTACTTGACTGAAGTGGTGGTTGTCTGAAGCTTAATAAAAACAAACATGAAATAGAAAACAATCGTCCATGTTCGCTAGCAGAGTAGTTACTGTGTTGGCTTGAGAAGCCTCAGAAGGCCTTAGCCTACGAGTTCGAATTAATGACTTTCCCTTTTTTTTTATAAATACATTTAAAAATGATCATTCAGATATCCCATTCTTTCTCCCACACCTCTACCCCTTCCCAACTGGTCCAGACAAGTGTAAGAATCATAGCGAATTGGGAAAGCTAAAAGCATGGAATTGCGCTAAACAAAAACAATTGGTAAAAAAATGTCTAATTGCACAGATTTATTGTTGTTAGTCTAGATTCTAGATCAATTACAAATTTAATAACATGACTGATCCAAACTTATTGATACACTAATAGTATTTTTTTTTATTTTGCTTGTTTAACTGATTTGAATGGAGAATTTAAAGCAGTTAGGCAAACCAATTACCTAACATTTTTTCCAAAAACTTGTTTGGCTTTATTATCTCATATGATATAAGAAACTTGGGAAATCTTTTCATAAACTACATACAATGGCCAAAAAGAGCTTATTATTTATTAGCTTTTGGCATTTCAAGTGACAGAGAATTTGCCCAACCAATGTTTATTCAACATTTCTGTATGCTCAAAGAAGTTTCTGGGTGATTATTTCGACTAAAGGGATTCTTTGCTAGTATTAATGATCTCCCTTTCACTTTTCTTTTCTCCAGTCTGAGGTGCAAGATGTGTGAGGCATTAATGTGAAGACAGCAGAGATAGTATGGCAGACAGATGTCCCTACACTAACATAGGATGTTGGAGTTTGATTGAATACATTACCATGGACTATCTTACGGGTAGAATGCATTATGTTCACAGTTGTGCTTGTTTTAGAACAGCTCCCACCCCCCTCCCCTTTCAGCGTCACTCAGCAACAAGACAATATGCACAGTGGACCCTACTGAATACATTTCACAAGCAGTGCGAACAATCGGCCAAGTTTTTTTTTTTTGTTTTTTTTTGTAACAGTTAGTCTGTTAGTTAGTTAGTCTTGTGTGATTGATTAAGTGTCTGTATAGATGGAGTATATCAATTTAAACAAAGATATTTTTTCTGATAAGTCTATGACAGTCTGTTGGATAAGTCAAAGACAGTCTATTTGTTTATGTCTAGGACAGTCAATCAGCTCCTGTTTGTGTACTTGTGCGAAGCATGTGTTTGCCTCTGGCAAGCAATAAATCAGTTTAAGCCATACATCTGCCTTTGTCCGTTTCTTGCGTTGCTTTTGGTTTGTTTTAAGAAGAGCTTTATTTTTTATTTTTTTTTGATGTTCAACTGATGCCAGATCTTCAGTAGTGAAGTTTACCCAACAAGAAAGCTACTTTCTAAGATAGTCGTATGAAGAAGGAAAAAAAAAAGTCCTATACTGAAATAAGGAGTAGACTAGCTTCTTCATGATCCTGTTCTATCATTTGTAGTTGTAGACTTATCTGAATGTGGACCAAGTTTATTTATTATGATGTTGAATGTTATACACGATGTTACTGGTTTATGTATACAAGTTGATTTTGAATTGAATGTTCTTTTGTTTTTTTTTCTGTATGCTGATATTCTAGGTCATAGGTCATCACTCCATCAGAGTAGTGCAATAACTAATGTTAAATCACCACAGCATAATCAACATCTAGCATTGACTTTAAAAAAAATAAAGTTTCATTCAATTTCTTAAACAAAATAATGTTTGAAAATAGAAAATATTTTTTTAAAATTCATTTACATTTGGGATGAAAAACCTGTTTTTGTCTCCTCTTTACTATTAAACAAAAAATGTACTTAAGTTATTTTAGTTAAAGATTTTTTCATTTTGAGTCTTTAAAATTAATCTTGTGGTGTTTCTTTTGTACACTTTCAATGTTCTTGTAAAAATCAACACGCAGCCATTGATGATCTTAAAGCTCTACTGCTGCTTCAACATGTTGCTGTCAAGTGAGTTTGCTGCTTGGGGATAGTGGGCTTGCCCCATGAAGCTATCTCATCACTGATCAAACCTGAGCCCCCCCGAATGTTTGCCATACTTTAGCTGCTACAAATCTCTGTGCAATGTTAGCGAGGGATGACATGCTGTGTGGGGATAAAAAGAGGCGTTGGACTTGCCTTGTGCTTCTTTTTTACTTTTCCCCCCGAGCCCCAAAAATTTTTGTTTTGACTCAGGCCTCTCCCCACTTCCCATTCCAATGTTTTCTATTGATGTGATATTTATTACTAGTTGTTCATGTAGTTCCCAAGTGAGAGATATACACAGATATACACCTGACTATGGTCTCATCCCTGAGTAAAGAACACACATTATGGACTTGAGTTCTATGCTTTTACTTTACTAGATCCATAAATTACACTTGCACAATTCTTTGTAATTTATCACCATTTGATTGTTTAAAGAGCTGTGTGCTGAATATGTCATGAAATATAAGCAGTGATAAAAAACTAATGTCTGAGGGGATATGTTTTACATTGTTGTTGATAATCTGCTCTTTGAGTCTACATCAACTTCCCTTGTACTACACATCCCAATTCATTTCTTTAATAGAACTAATTTGTTCTTCAGCTATATTCTCCTACCTGTATTAGTCCCTACCATAATTAAATTACAAAAAGAAATGTCACCAACACTCGGTCAGATAATGTCATTAAAATCTACATGTTTCAATTGTTACATTTTTGTATTCCTTGATGAATTAAATAGTAAATCAAATTGCTATACTTGAATTGCTTACTGGTTGTGCTGTATGTGCTCTGGCTGGCATCCTCCACTGTCCTGCAGTAGGTTTGGGTAAGGATGTGGTAATCTTCAATTCTAAAAGAACATTTGAAACATGTCAAACAAAACAAACAAGCTCCACAGGTCTGTGATTCCAATTTTTTTGTTTTTGTTATATAGGGTTAGCCTAAAGAAATTTTTGTTTTAAACAATATTAAAATGATTATTTTTTAGACTTTTAACAAATTTTGATTCCTAGAGAAAGCAAACTGAGAACTGCTTGCCTAGGGATTCACTTTTGTTTTTCTTTTGTTAAAAAAGTATAGAACTCAAGTCCAGATTGTTATTGTAGCCCCATAATGCCTTCATCTACAAGCAGAAGGCTTAAGTTAAGTCTAATCCTATGGCTCAAATCTAGATGTAGTCTATAGAAACTTTCAGCACTCCTACCTTGTATTATTTGGTTGTACCCAGTACAACTTGGTTGCCATTGTTATTTTGATATGTATGTAGTTTATAAGTATTTTCTCTGTTGCTTCATTTGTTTTGGATCTAATTGAATGCTATGAATTGACCATGGTCACATACCTGCAGAGTAGCTGTTTCATAAGACTGATTACAGTGAAGAAGTATGGTGATCCTGAGGGCTCAACCTCACTCTTTGTTATCTGATCCATTTGTTCGCTTCATCTTTGCTTTAAGTATTAATGTTCATGTGTCCCTTCTTGTGTGTGTGTGTGTGTGTGTGTGTTTACACTGTATGTGTAGATATGTCCAACCGTAATGACTAAACTATTATTTACATTTTATTTCATTCACATCTAATCAAAAACTATATTTTATTCTACTGAAGTCATAAACCAAATGTTTTGATGTGTGTTGTGTTTATTTATCAAGCTTATAAAAATGTTTATCGCAACAAGTCACTAATTTGCTTTCATTCAATAACTGGACAAACTTTGTTTCTGCCAATGTCTGGGTAGGTCAGCTTGTTGAGTTCTGAACTTTGTTTCTGCCAATGTCTGGGTAGGTCAGCTTGTTGAGTTCTGAACTTTGTTTCTGCCAATGTCTGGGTAGGTCAGCTTGTTGAGTTCTGAACTTTGTTTCTGCCAATGTCTGGGTAGGTCAGCTTGTTGAGTTCTGAACTTTGTTTCTGCCAATGTCTGGGTAGGTCAGCTTGTTGAGTTCTGAACTTTGTTTCTGCCAATGTCTGGGTAGGTCAGCTTGTTGAGTTCTGAACTTTGTTTCTGCCAATGTCTGGGTAGGTCAGCTTGTTGAGTTCTGAACTTTGTTTCTGTCAATGTCTGGGTAGGTCAGCTTGTTGAGTTCTGCATTGGAGATTATACAGTGGCAGATTTTATATATATATTTTTTTCTTTTCTTTGCATGTAAATTTGTGTTGGTTCAGAAAGTTGATGGCTCTTCGAAGAAAGTATTTTCTGTGATATTTACCAGGCTTCTTGTTGTTTTTTTTCTTATTTGTTCCTTTTCTGATATTAATAAATTGTGTCCTTGACCTTTTTCTTCACTGATGTGTTTGTTTGCAACTTAAATTTCAACTTGCTCTAAGAGAAACTTTGAACAAACACTAGATCTAGCTACAAACACTTATGAGTGAATTCATTGAAGCTCTATGTTTGAATTTATGTACTAAAATAGAATATGAAAATGTATATAGTTTTTGTGTGTGCTATTGTTATAAAGATATCTAGTTAATACTTTAACTGTCTATGTTATCTGAGGGTGGTGGTCAATCATGTCTATTCACTAGTTTGGGATTGAGTGTTAGTTCTCAACTCTGGTAGTTGTCTCACTTCTGACACTGTGTTTGTCTCATCTTGATGCTAACTAGACTGTCATTATTGCATCTCGTGCATCTCTTTGATTCTAGATCTAAGGAAAACATTTAGCAGTCAATGCATCCCAGTGTAACTTAATCATTTGTTTGGGGTAGTTCTAGCTCTTGTGTATTAAAGGTCGGATCATTTCACTAGTGTAAAACTGTTGATATTTATGCTCTAAAAGTTTGTATGATGCTAAGGTTTACCTAGTACATAGAACAGGATGCAATTTTTTAAAATATTTTGTTTCAAATGTAGACATGCTCTGTATGCTTAAATGCTCACTTATTCAACTCATAATGATTATTGACCTAGTATTTATAAGACCTGTCTAATAATTGTTGATCTAGTATTTATATGACCTGTCTAATGATTGATATAGTATTTATATGACCTATTTGTTTTTTTTTCCCATTGATGTACTATTGAACTGCTTTGATAGGGTTGAGTGTCTATGATTAGCTTAGCTCAGTGTTAAGATTCTAGCTCCTAGACATTATAATGGTTATAATTCTCTGTAGTAGTATGTTCTCTTCCTTCCTTGTTGGAGTGAATGGTTGTGATGTGAAGCAGTTGGCATGGGTTCACTAGACTCTGTGAATGGTGGTAAATAGCAATAAATGCATATCACTCATTATAGTGGTGTTTTTTTTTGTTTTTTTTGTCTTTCACAGAAATTAATGTAAACTAGTCGAACATATTGACCTGTATGACTATACTATTTTAACAAATATATTGACCTGTATGAATATACTATTTTAACAAACATGCTGACCTGTATGACTATACTATTTTAACAAACATATTGACCTGTATGACTATACTATTAGAACAAATATATTTGCAGACAAAGATTTCACTTAATGAAATAAAAGGGGGGAAAATGGACCCTTTTTTTGTTCCCCAAAAAAATCATTAAAATTAACTTAAAAAAACAAAACATTTTTAACTCCTTTCTACAAAACATGTTTTGATGGTGACCAAAGTACACTTTATAAATACTTATAATGAAGTTAAAATATACAAATTGGTAAAGAGCGTTTCTCCTATTAAATGTTCGCCTTTTCCAAAAAGCTTTGGGAGAGTGTATTGCCCCACACAATGATAAAATCAGCCTGGTCTGCGCTTCCATAATTGGAACCCATGTCCTGCAGGAAGCTTGGACTAGATGGAAATAATATTCAGGAACACGTGGATTGTATTTAACAAAAAACTTTTTTAAAAACATTACAAGCTTTTTTTTTTTAAGAAATTCTAAAACAAATTTTCTGGCTTTATCATCATTAAACTTCATTTAAGTAAGGGCTTGAGAGGCTCAAAAATCCTCTCTTGCAAAAGCCCTGGACAGAAACCCTGCGGTCTAACGTAGTGTATATATGTCACCATACAGGTCGAGAATTTTTGGTTTCCCAGACCTGTGGATACGGAGATCAGCAAGTGTAAGGCAATCAAAATTAATATCAGACACTGTTTCCTCTTCTTCCCCGCAACGGGGGCACCATGGATTGAAATATGGCTATAGCTGTGAGAAATATGAGCCAACAGGACAGTGGCATGTCCTGCACTGTGCTATAATAGAAATGAGAAAAAATAACACAGCAGTTTGTGTAGTTCAAGCTTCGCTTGAAATGTGTCAAACATTTGGAACCAGAGATGATTCATCCTACTTCTTCTTGACTTGTATTAGCTCTTTATCTGCCCTTGTCACTTGATAGTACAAAACTCACAGCTTCCGCACTAAGAGAAGATTAGCTATACAAGTGAAGATTTTGATCCCTAATTCTTTTCAGATTTTTTAACCACTTATTGTAAAGATTCCCAATAGACAATGTGGTATGTCTTTAGGTAGAACAATGGAGAAATTTCGTTTTCTTTTAATTATTTTAACTGTTATTATCCCAAGCCTGAGGCAGCTAAAATGATATAGGGGAAGAGGATTCTTGATAGTGCTAAATGATTGGTTCTTCTAGTGACAGGTCCAAACGTAGGTAATGATACATTTTTCAAAACCTTTTCTTTTTTGGAAGGGAGATTTCTACACTTTGTGCCGACAATTCAGTGGGCCGGATGGAACCGCGTCGCGGGCTGGATCTGGCCCACAGGCCGTATTTTGGGCATCACTGGTTTAGAATATGGAGAGGATTGGGTTTTGTTAACAAAATATTACAATGTAAATTTAATCTGCATGTATCAAACAATGATTTTCTTTTGAGATTTCATGCTATTTATAACTGGTATTCATAACATGAATAAAGTCAATTATAAATGACACAATACATTAGGGAAGAAATAATATTCATGTATTTGAAGCACTATCTTCAGCATAATTCACACTACCAGTGATGCCCAACCTAATTCGACCTGCGGGCCATTTTAATTTCTGACACTCGTGTTGGGGCCATATGAACGAAAACGTAGGCCTACAAAAACGATATACTTGAAACCCGTAGATCCTGTGCTTAATTAATTAATGGGATATTTGAAACGTATATTTTTTCCCCGCCTCAGAAGATAGCTTCATTTGTCTACTTAAAATATCAGCAACATTGGGCTTCATCTCTGTACTTAGATTATGTGCTAGTTTTACAATCGAGTCATTTTCTTTTCTCTTTTTGGTAAAATATTCTCATCAATCCTCCAGTTTCTAGGCTTAGTTTAACAACCTTTTATTCGCTGAACAAACCAAGAATACCTTCATATTTGTTTTATAATGTCATTTATATGTTGTTTTTTTTTTTTTTTTTTTTTTTAAATAGCCACACTTTCTCTATAAAACAAATATGTTGGCCTATTATCATGTTCCACAAAAAAGTAAAGAACCGTTCACTTTTCTTGGTTGAAAACATCCATTCTTCACTCAGATACCTATTTCATAAACGCACAAATACTAAATGTCATGGTACCAATCAATCAGGAGAAAATATGAGGGCTTTAAGCCCCTAACGTAAGTACAGATACATTTTTGCACCTTCTAATTCTTTTTTTTGGGGGGAAAAAGGGGTGATTTTCTACTTTTTGTGCCTACATTTCGGCGGGCCAGATGGAATCAATCGTGGGTCGGATCTGGCCCGCGGGCCGTACTTTGGGCATCACTGCACTATACCAATCAAACATTTATATACCATAACTATGTTGAAACATTATTTGTTCCTTTATAAACTAGAATTTATTTTTGACTCTAATAATGTTAGGCAAGTAAAGTAATAGCCTCATCATTGTCCAGCTTAGATTGAGTTGGTGGCTGTTGAAAGGCTTGATGAGTTCTCTGCAAGGCCATGAAGTCGTCCTCATCCATAAACAGTCTCTGCTGCTCCAGTTGATAGTCGTAGTAGGCTTTCATTTCTTCCATCTCTTGTCTGAGTCGTGCCATGTGTTCTGGAAATGGATTGGTGTTGATGATCTTGTCTGAAAAATCTTCTGGGTCGATGAATGGAGCCCTTGGAATCTCAACTGTGGTCTTCCCGAAAGGAGGTTTTTCAGCATAGGTTTTCCTTTTGGGTATTCCAAGCTCCTGCTCTGCCATCTGAAAGAATTTAATAAAATCATGGTTGAAAGAGACTCAAAATAAATGTGAAGATATTTTAACTTTGGAGACACACATCACCAGATGAACTTAGATAACAGCACCCAAAACACATAACATCACCATCAATACAACTGAAAAATCATGCATTGTTGAGGCGCTGTGGCTGAGTGGTAAAGCGCTTGGCTTCCAAACCAGTGATCCTGGTGAAGACAGAGATTTTTATTTCAGGATCTTTGGGCACCTCTGAGTTCACTCAGCTCTAAAGGGTACCTAACATTAGCAGGGGAAAAGTAAAGGTGTTTGGTCGTTGTGTTGGTCACATGACAACCTTGTTAACCATTGGCCACAGAAACAGATGACCTTAAAATCATCTGCCCCACAGATGGCAAGGTCTGAAAGGGGAACTTAACGTTACTTTACAACCATGTTATGTAATACTTAACGTTACTTTACAACCATGTTATGTAATACTTAACGTTACTTTACAACCATGTTATGTAATACTTAACGTTACTTTACAACCATGTTATATAATACTTAACGTTACTCTACAACCATGTTATGTAACACTTAACGTTACCTTACAACCATGTTATGTAATTTTATTGCATCTAGTTATATTCTTTAGGAAGCGCTGTGGCTGAGCGGTAAAGCACTTGGCTTCCGTACCGGGGTCCTGGGGTCAAATCCTGGTGAAGACTGGGATTTTTAAACTTGGGATCTTCGGGGGCCTCTGAGTCCACCCAGCTCTTATGGGTACCGGTACCTGACATTAGTTGGGGAAAAGTAAAGGCGGTTGGTCGTTATGCTGGCTACATGACACCCTAGTTATCCGTAGGCCACAGAAAACAGATGACCTTTATATCATCTGCCCTATAGACCGCAAGTTCTGAAAGGGAAACTTAGTTATATTCTATGAGTACAATAAACAATTACATTTTCTGCTACAACACAATACAACACATCACTAAAAACTAAATCACTTTACAAACCTTGGCATCAAACTGAGCTTTAGCCCAGGCTTTGAAATCAATTGTTGACTTCGTGCTGAGGCCCCGCATTCTATTCCTGATAAAAGAAGCATAGAGCACAAGATGATTCTAAGAATGGTTATTAATGACAAGTTTGTTAACGTATTACTGTCATCCTTTTTTATACAACCATTTCTCTAACCAATTCTAAAGAATTTATTTTTAAAAAGGATCTATTGAAGAGCATACAATGTCAATCAATGAGTTAATAGATCTAGCTATACTGTAAATAAGTGTTTCCCAAACTATGTTCCGAGGAACCCTAGTGTTCCGCAAGGCCTGAAAAGGTGTTCCACAAACTACCATGTGAATTAATCTCTAAAAAATAAGAAAAGTGTTCCGCTAAATAATCAGAATGTGAGAAGTGTTCCGTTAAGTTAAAAGTTTGGGAAACACTGCTGTAAATAAAAAGAAAATCTTTTTTTTTTGTCCTACACTTTAATAACAAATGGAAAATAATTTTGAAGCCTTTTAATTAAGTGGCTTTTAAAATGTTTTAGAAATTAAAAATTGTGAGGTTTTACTGCTTAAAAGTCAAAATAAAATGCTATCATTAAATGAAATTAAAAGCAGAAAAGATCTACCAAGTGTAGTACCAAGTAATTTCAAACTTTATATTGTAAAAGCTCAATGTCCATAGAGTGTTAATTACAGCAATATTAAATACTCTATCATAAAGAAATGTACCGGTATTTAAGTAATTACTTTAAGTAAAGAGACAATATTTTATGAATCCATAATATTTGATCTTCTAAAGATTAGGAAGATTTGAAATATGCTACTATAGAACTACACACAAAATAGTGACTTAATGACTTATGCTAAAGGAAAGTAAATTAAAGTACTTCAGAAAAAAACATCAATTGTAATGTTAGTTGCATCTATAAAATTTAATTTTTGGTATTAGAAAAAAAACAACATTTTTAATAAAGATAAAAATATGGTTTTAATTTAATCTTTATAATATTTGTAATTGATTTAAAGCTAAAAAGAAATTGAGTAGAGTGAACTATAAGCTAAAGAAAGGCATTCTCTTGAACAGTTACATCATATAAGTTGACAAAATATACAATATATTCCC